TGCTAGCCAATTGGTAGACATTAATTTACGTCAATGTCTATGTCACTAATATTGGCCGTGAGAAAATATGAACGAGACTGATTCAACAACCAATCACAGCGGAGTTAACGTGGGCAAACACGATTCGCAGAAATATGGCTTAACTTTCGGAGAAACCAGTCACAAGCAGTACATGATAACCCTGAGCAAGAAACAACCATTCAGAAGACGTTTCTACTTGAATAAGCTTTAATAATAATATACATGAAACATATATAAATACGTGCTGATTTCCTTAATAAATGATCTGTTGCCTGGCCCTTGTCTTCTGTTGTTTCAACTATACGAAAGTATTTTGTGTTAGACTTAGTTTTTATTACAGTCTCCTCTATGTCACAAGCCTGCTGTGTACTGACCAGTTGTTTCGGATCACGTTTAAGGTAAAACCATTTAGCTTAGACCACTTACTGATGCCCGACATAAAGCTACTAAGTTTGCAACAGACTGATTGGCATTGACAGGAAGTGAGACGGTCAGATTATAAGCGTATTTGACGAAGTTGACTCCATTCAAAAGAGGCAATTCTTGTAAGAAGAGAGAAAAGAGAAAAGAAGAGACAAAGGAGAGAATTCCGAGGAACACCAGCTTCAGTAAGCAAGGTAGAGGAAGATTCACCCTTATACAGAGTATGCTGCATTCTGAATTAAGAATGCAACCATTTAACAGCCGAGAACTTGTTTTGTGTAAGGGGAGGCTTATTGGACAAAAAGCATCTAAGTACCGAGTCATGAGCACATTTGTGGTCGAGGAAAGTACAGTGTAAACAACTGATGCCTTGCCTAAAATGGAAACAGTGTTGTGATGTAATACAGTGGCAACATCTGAAGTACTTCAGCGCTGTCAGTAAGCAAAGTGTTTGGGATCATCAAAACTATTTAGAGAAAGTGCAAGGTTTAATATGACTGATTTCTCCATTAATTTCAAAAAAGGTGAGGCGATTTCAGTAGGTTTGAATTTAACAATAATTCCAGAAATTCATTTGGTTTCAGGGATGATTTTAATGTCTTTCCGCGCAGCATGTACAAAAAGGAAGTATTGAATATATTTGTAAGTGGTTATCATAAAATATCAAAACAGCATGTACACCATCAGGACCTAGTCTCTGGGAAGGCTTTAGACATTTCAAACACTTTCGAACATCACAATTATTAGAACTATGAGAGTCAATGACCTTATATTTGGGGACAACAGCATCTTTAGATGAGCACATGAAAGATTTGTTGATAGTATTCATATCAACAGAGGGGACATTAATACTTTGCTCACCACAATCTGTATTTTCACTGAAAAGGTTCCATATATTTCAAGGAGTTTTAGGAGAAAATATTCTTTGGTTGTAAATTGTGTTCAAACTTTGGATTTCTGATTTAATCAGGATGTTAATCCTCCTTAGACCAGCGTTTTCTTAAGACATACACAGCCGCTCTTTTTCTCTCCGTATTTCTGTGAGACGGGAAGAAGAGAAATGATCAAGTCTTTTGAGTAGCGTCTGTTTGAGGCAAGATAAGTCGAGGTAGAATTTAAGATAACCCATATTATTTGTGGGTGTATCATTTGGCGTGCGCTTGTTCGAAAAAAATCTGAAACCTAACCATGTCTGTGTTTACAAGCATCAGTCAAAAGATCAGAGTATGTTCCGCGTGATCTACTAAACTGACAGATCATTCCTTTTATCTTATAAATAAGTGATAACAATTTATCCCGAAACACATCCCAGATATTCACATATCTGCTGGATGAATGACGCATTTTCTTTAGTTAGTTTTAGCTGAATTTCTGTTGAACTCGAGTGAATCAGAAACTTTGTCAACAGGCGATAAACATGTCACCTTATATTAATACATTTATTGTAACTACGCAAATTCACAACATGATTAGCATAGTCCTCCAACTTCCTGCTCATTTCTCTGACGGGAGAGGGGGGAGAAGAAATTCCCAGATATTCGGATGGGCACGATTAATTAAGCTCATGACACCCAACTTACCCTCCGGTCTGTTGCATGTAAATGCATGTAGCGTTATAACCGGCGATTTATTCTACATTCCTTATTCTATTACGATCAACTAGTCTAAATATTTTGTTCCACTAATGTAATGGAACTGCATGATACTGCTTTATTTTATCATAGAAACTAAAAATATGTAAAACAGACGTGGTTCAACAACTGTCCCGGATATCTGGAACGTCTGCAACCCATAAATCCCTGTAATATTTACACATATACATCATTTTTAAATTCACGAACCAGTGGATCGGGGCCCTGTGACTTATTAGTCTACGAGATAGCTCACATTTTACCCAGAAAGTCTTTGGTTCGAACACCACGATGTGTGCGTGCACTGATAAAGAGTCCCAAACGGTACTGACGAAACAGTTCTCTAGTATTCCCAGGTTCTTCATTGGCGCTCTAATTGATGTAATCTCATGATGAAATCCTCCAACCAATCAAACAAAATACCTTTAAAACCAATACTTGATATATAAATATATCATGAGCTGACATCAGTTAGAGAACCACTGGGAGTACTGGAGAGCTGTTTCGTCCTAGTTTGGGACTCATCATCAGTACGCATCCACCGGGATTCGAACCCAGGACCTTCTGGTTACAAGGCGAGCTCGTAGACCATTGAGCCACTGGGACCCGATCCAATGGTCCTTGAATTCTAACTTCTGCCAATTCACGACATAGCGCGACCACTTCGCAATGTCTTCTTCGATGAGTTACTGCCTCATCTTCGACCTGCTGTACCCTACTGGTCACGGCTTCCCACTATTGGCAGAAGTTAGAATTCAAGGACCATTGGATCGGGTCCCAGTGGCTCAATGGTCTACGAGCTCGCCTTGTAACCAGAAGGTCCTGGGTTCGAATCCCGGTTGATGCGTACTGCTGAAGAGTCCTAAACTAGACGAAACAGCTGTCCAGTACTCCCAGGTTTTCCAGTGGTTCTCTAACTGATGTCAGCTCATGATGAAATCCTCCATGCAATCAAACAAAATCCCTATAAAACCAATACTTGAAAATATAAATATATATATTCTTAAATATTCAGTTACTCGGGTATAACATCAGTGAGATATTATCACAATGACTAAGGAATAAGGTGAAAAGAACATTCAGTGCTGCTGAATTATTATACGTTGGTTTTCTATAAACACTAGTGTGTAGTTTACCTTTATCTACTCGTTTTATTTTGCAATCTAACATAGCTAATTCTCCTTGTTCATGTATATAATCTAAAGAACAAAAGTTGTGTGTGTAACTTGATATAATTATGAGTAATAGATTGTGCTCGAAACGTCATCATTTAATATTACTGTACAATATTGTGTGATTTATCAAAATAAAATCTTATTCTAAATGGACTTAAAATACTCTCATTTTATGTAGAATATTCAAATAGGAACATATTCATCAGCGTGTCTTTTGAAACAATATTGCTGGCGTCTTAAGCATTCTGTCCTCTATTCATTATGGTAACTTTCAGGCTATTTGAAAATAGGAGTGATTTACAGATTACACTTCAACAGTATAATTGGAGAACTAAAACCACATGAAATCGTGTAAACGAGACGTGTTGTCATGAATGTGAAATATGGTTTTGCAGTGATTTATGTGAGCCTCCATTGCAGTCATTATGTAAATGTGTACGCAGGAAACCTACATCAACAATCATCAGTGTACTCATTAATTCAGCTTCGTACATTTGAAATACAAACACAACCTAATAACGTTTTTGGTAGACAGAACAAGAGCAATCTCCTCTCAAGAATGTCGTAATGAATAGCTTAATATTATTAAACAGTAAAGGTCAGCCGAAAAAATTTCTCTCTTATGAGAGTACGAATCAGAAGTTAGAGCATGCCAAAGCACCAACAGTTCCGAAAAAGGTCTTATACTTGCAACTTCAGTTCCCGGGGATAATACCAGTGAGATATGAACATGACGTCTAAGGAATGAGGTAAAAAGGGAATTCAGTGCGACTGAATTATTATGCTGTGCCTTCAAAACCACTCACTATAAACTGCCTCATTTCGACTCTTCTATGTGTATCTAGCACTTTAACTCCTCCTGTGGAGCCAGTTACATAGGCCGTAAAATTGGGCGTATTTATCGTCGGATTTCCGAACGGCATTCCACATAGCGGTTAAGTAAAGGAAAAACAAAATCTGTTTGTAGCGCTATTCAATCTCATCTTGTGGATACAGAACACAAGGTCGATGTCAACCGGGCTTTTCAAGTCATTTAACGTATACCAACAAATCCTAACTTCGCCTTAAGAGTTCGTCTACTAAATATTTCTGAGGCTAGCCGTTGGGATCCACATTCAGAAACCTAATTTATGTATTCAAAAGAAGATGTTGGTTCATACACTGTCCTTACCTTGACTGTCAGTCAACGTTTTCATGATCCTCAATCTTTTGTAGAAATTTCTTTAATTTTAGTTGATATTCTATTTGCTATTCTATTTTTATTATGGTTGTTATAATATATGCATCTTTAATGAACTGTAATTCCATTGTGATCTTACTTGACAAATCGATATTATTTAAAAAGTTCTAATATTTTTATTGACTACATTTCTAGAATATTCTATGTATATAAACATATGTATATATAAATGTACAGCCAGAAGAGGAAATTATGTAAAAAGAATATTCTTTGCTCAAACATTTTATCCCTTTCCTGATATATAATCGATTAATAGTCTGATCCGGAATTATATCCTTCCATAGCTCTCTAGTTTTACACATATGTATGAGGTCAGATGATGTCAGCTGGACGAAGCTGTACACATTGGGAAACACTTATGCTAGATCGAGGATCATAGTGAAACCACAGTTTTGAATGGATCTACAAGTATGCAGATCTGTTAGAGGTGCATCGATTAATGTCTTTAGTATTTCTATAAAACGTTTTATGTCAGAGAGGTTGAAATAATGTCAAAAAGAGAAACTCAGGGACCATTTTCATTATTTAATGATTCAAATCAGGTTTATTTTTCAAAAAAACAACAACGAAAAATGAATTTCAGGTCATCTGTTTTTACAGAACAGTACAAGGACAAAATGTGTCAGTTTATGGAAGACGTTTTGGTGGCTTTCAACACTCTCTGTTTCCTTTCAGTACATATTTAGAGAGGTGAATATGCTTCTTATTCTTATAATTAATTTTTCGAAAAGAAGTTTCCAGTACCGATGTCCCTGAGAAATTAAAAACAAAATAAGGTGTAAACACAAGACTTATTCAAGAGCGCAAATATCGTACATAATCAGAAATATCAAGAAAATATCAACAGCATTAGTCCTAGTATTCAGTCTCTCTTCCTGTCTTTGAGAATTTTATGCATCGAAGCCTCCCGAGTATTATACACGCTTTAATTAAAGAAGCACTAAAACCTATGGAGTTCGTGAAAGCTGCTTTGTAATAGTTTGGAGAATATTGGCAGTACGCACCTGTTAGGGTTAAAATCCAGTAGCTTCCTGTTACAAGTAAATTTCGTAGGCCGTCCACCCTGACCACTTTTACACGCGTAGGTGTGTAGGGATGATCTATCTCAAGCAAAGATAAGACAGCTGTCCAAAACTCCCACGTCCTTTAGTGTTTGTCAAACTGACGCGGATTTTCTACTCCAGTGCTGCTATGTGGATCAGAGAATTGGCGCCGCGTCACGAAGGACACTTCGAACAAACTACACACCTATTAGATGGTTGGAGGCAATCGGTAGGAAGACTTGGACCTAAGTTTCCTGCTAGTTGGCACTCACCAGTCAACAAGGCGTATCTGAAACCTCGAAGGGACTCATCCCCCTTCTGAGATTCGAAAGCGCCTCACCCAGTGAGTGCTGCAGTCAGTCGAAGACGTTGCCACTGAGCTGTTCGGGCTCGCGATTGACCTCCTGTAGGACTGTAGTGGATATTTTGATTTGACACTAGCAACTAGAGTGATGCGTCTAGTCTTCTGATTGGTGAAGACTGAATTCTATGAGTCAGGTTCTAATGTGGCCACTATTCTAGGTAGCTCGCCATCACGGTGCACATTGATTAGATGGTATTAGATGGTTGGAGGCAATCGGCAGGAAGCCTTGGACCTAGGTTTCGTGCTGGTTGACACTCGTCAGCAAGGCATATCCGCAACCTTGAAGAAACCCAAGTTCCTTTCTGAGATTTGTACCCACACACACTTCATCAACAACTGTCTTACCTCAATGCTTTAGATCACATGGCCAGAAAAGATGATCAGCAAGGATCTCTGAGAGCGGACCGACCCAGCAGGAACCACTTGTGCAACAAGTATGCAGCGAGAAATGGAGGTGGACTTGCCATACTCTGACAAAACCACCAAATGACATCCCAAGACAGTGAAACCCGGACGGAAAGTGGCGAGTCGGTTGTCAGATTACTATTTCATATATACTAGCATGTTGAACTGTATTCCTCTTTCAGTGTCACAAAATGTGCTATATAAGTAAAATATTAGTTACAATGTTCCCTCTCTGATTACCAATTCTGACGATGGTTCCATCTCGTTCGAAAAGACAATTCTTATACCACATCTTCAGTTCGTCTCAGTTCTATCTACTGTTTTTTAGCTATTTCGTTGTGAATGTATTGAATAGTGGTGTTTCAAAATTTCCTCGATAAAACCACTTCTTTCAGGGATTCAAATGTTAAACTTTGAACACCTCCTGTATTATGTGGTAAATCTCTTTGACCTGTGATCTATGCTACACTTCTCCAACAGATCTATACACTGAGGTATGAAGTGAACGCATACCCACCACATTGGTTGGTTGCAAAACTACATCTGACGAGTAGTCATTAGTTTGCATGACTTACTTTTAATCTGCAGAAGTCTTGCATTCCATCCTCGACAGAGGAGTTTCACATTATGAATTAAACTACCCTCCAAAACGTCTTATTTCTTTTAATTATTGTTATTTCCACACAATAATCAATTAATTTTACAAGTCAGTCGTCTAGCCAACTTAAATTTCATTCATGTGTGCCCTATTTACCTCAACAATGAATCAAAAAATTTCGTATTAACAAGAGTAGTAATAACTTACCAGATTTGACCAAATACACTAGATGTAGAGTAATAAAGATGTCAAGAAGTTGCATTTAATGTTATAATAATATTCTTAATAATAATGACGACAGCTTTATTCTGAAGATTTGCTTTCACAAATCGTATATAATCCTTAGAATACTCTCCCTTCGTATGTAGAATATTCAAATAGGCACACGTTCATCAGAATGTCTTTTGAAACAATATCTGCCGACCTACTGTGGTTTTCTTCCATTCATGATGGTAAGTTTCAGGCTATTTGAAAATAGGCGTGATTTACAGATTAAAATTCAACAGTGAAATAGGATAACTAAAACCATATAAAATTGGGAAAAAAAGTGACGTGTTTTCATGAATGTGTAATAGGGTGTTGCAGTGATTTAAGTGGGCTTGCATTGTAGTCATCATGTAAATGTGTACACAGAAAACCTTCATCAAATGACTGTCAGTATTTTCATTAATTCAGTTTCGTGGCTTTGAAATACAAACACAATCTGATAAAGTGTTTGGTACACAGGACAAGAGCAATCTGCTCTCAGAAATGTCTTATTGAAGAGGTTAATATTATTAGACATTTGGTGAGTGACAACAGTTACCCAGAAAAATTCTTTCTCTCTGAAATATGAATCAGAAATCAGAGTATTCCAAAGTACCTACACTTCCGAAAAATGGCTTGTTCTTAAAACTTCAGGTCTTTGGGAATAACGCCAGTGAGATACTAACACAACGTCTAAGGAATGATGTAAAAAGAGTATTCACGGCTGTGTTTTCAAAACCACCATTATTTTGCTTTCTCGAGTAAAAGATAACGTGCCTAATTTCGTCTCTTCCATGTGTGTGTGTATCTACCAATTTAACTCCTCCCATGGGGCCAGTTACACAGGCCGTTCAATTACGCGTGTTCATCGCTGGATTTCCGAACACCATAGTGTGTGTGGTTGGTTGAATAAAGGACAAACAAAATCCATTCGTGGCGCTATTCTACCTCATTTTGTGGATACAAGACACAAGACTGATGTCAACGAGACGGCTTTCAAAGTATTATTTACAGCACACCAACTAATCTTAACTTACGTAACCCAAGAGTTCTACTGCAAATTTGCTGAGGCTGGCTATTGGAGTCAACATTAGGAAGCCGTACCTATATATCCAAAGGGGGGTGTTGGTTCAGACATTGTTCCCACCTTGGCCATCAAGGTTCTGCATAACATATTGATAGTATTAAAAAACACCAATATTGTAAGTGGCGATTACTCTAGGATATTCCATATATATGTATAAATATTTTTATATATAATTGTGGAGCCAGAAGACGAAATTATCGAAAAGAATTTTCTTTTCTCAATTCTTTTTTCAAAATGTCTGAATGGAGATTTTCGCTGTAAATATAGATATTTACCGGCGGCCATCATCATCCGACGTGTCACACACGTGGTTCCAGAACGCTTCACGAAGAAATTCTGCTGAGGCGGGAATATCAACTAGGGCAAAATATGAACCTGAAGCTCATAGGAATGTGAAGCATATGAAGATGGCAAACACTCAGTGGAACCATTGCTGACTTTGAGTGCCACTCCGATAGTGTTATTAACTAGACTTATAGACGAAATGTTTTTTTTCAAATCAAGGCCTGAAGACAGACTATTACATTTGAAACGTAAAAAATTCGAAATTGTTTAGAAAGTATAGACTACAGATGATTCTTGAAGAAAAACCACGGCAAGGTTTTATAACGACTTTTAGAACGGCTTGTAGGGAATTTGTTTGTACGATTGGTTGGAGGATTCCATCATGAGCTGACATCAATTTGAGAACCATAGGAAAACCACCGCTGGAGTACTGAACAGCCGTTTTGTCCAAGTTTTGAGACTCTTAAATAGTATGCAAACACCGGGGTTTGAACCCAGGACCCAGGTACCAGGCAAGGTGGTAGACCATTAGGCCACTGAGATCGGATTCAATGGTCAGTCCATGAATTTGAACTTCTGCCAATTCATGATCAGGTCCCAGCGGCCTAATGGTATACCACATCGCCTTGTAACTAGGTCCTGGGTATTAAATCCGGTGTGTGGGTTCTGATGAAGAGTCTCAAACCAGGACGAAAACGACTGTCCAGTACTTCCAGCTGGTTTTTCGATGGTTATCTCCAACCAAAACAATGTGTATATCGGAATATTTAGAAAAAATGCTGTGGATGTATAAAAATGGCTAAGAATGTCTATGGTTGAAAAGGTACACACTATCGTACATTACCGATATCATTCGAATTTCGTACTCTTTTTTTATTTCATAACTTACCAACCAAGATTAAATAATTTCCTATGCAGTAATAAAGACACAGTCATTATTCAAATCTTTGTGCTTAAGAAAATAACTTGTGAAGTATTTCTGTCAAAATCAAAACTCTTTCTGGAGGTGTTAAGCATCCAGTGTTTCTACTAATCCATTGAAAATGTAATGTTAGGTTTATAACTACAATTACAAATGTCGGTCAATGCGTAAATACTAGAATCCCTGGAATCTGATACTTAGAATTCTAAATCTCTGTCCTCTTTGGATTTCAGCCTCCACAGAAATGTGTCTCATTGGCTTAAGAACCTAACTTTTCACCAATTGATCTTATTCTAATGTCGGTGCACTGGTAATACCATCTGTTTTCACCCAGTAAGTGGTACATAAAACACATATTTCTGGCAATTAAGAATAAATGACATCAACTGTAAACAACTTAGAGTTAATAGCGATATACTTTCCACTGCAATATTTAGATTTTTGGAAAAAGACACCTCAAGTGACACACTCAACGATCATGGTGTTATCGAAGATCTAAGTTGGCTAGTTGAGGCGAGAGATCGTCAATATTGGATCAGCTAATCCAAAAAAAATGATACTGTGGCACACTTGATGGTACTGTTACCTTTACTGAATCTATCACATATATATTTTGTTTAAAAAAATAGTGTACAAGGAAACTTAGTTTATTGCTGAATATGCATCATTAAACTTGTCAAGGATGTTCATTGCAAAGAAGGGAGATGGCACACTAAGAAGGAGAGTGTATAGGAAACCTACAACAACAGGTCAGTACACTCATTTTTTGAGTTTTGTACCTTTCAAATGTAAACGTAACTTGGTAAAGTGTCTGGTTCTAGATTAATCTGTTCAGACGACTACCTCAATGAGGAGCTTAAGCTTATTAGAGAATTACTTAGAAAAATGGTTATCCAGATAAATTCATTGAGAAAAATATGAGATCAGCACCAAGGAGAGTCAGTATGGCAACAGTTCCGAGTAAACCAATGTCCATAAAATTGCAGTTCCTCGGTGACAACATCAGCGAAATAAATAAAACAGAGCCTGAAGAATGTAGTTAAAAGAGCTTATTATGCGGCAGAGGTACGCTGTCTCTTCACAACCAACAATATTCTACTTTCGAGAAATAAAGATAAACTACCTAAATTTACCTCTTCTATGTGTATCTACCGGAGATGGATTGGGCATACTCTGAGGAAACCATCAAGTGACATAACTAGACAAGCCATTGCTCGAGTGGAACCCGAAAGGGAGGCGGCGAGTTGGTCGTCCAAGGGTGACTTGGAGGAGGTCATGCGAGGAGGACATGTAAGCATCTGGACAGACCTGAAGCGGGGTGAAAAAGTTGGCAGGAAACATAAGGCAGTGGAGGTGCGCAGCTGAAGCCCTATGTTCCTCTAGGAACTAAAGAATACAATAATAATAAAGTGTATCTACCATTTTGACTGCAACTGCGGAGCCAGCTACATTGGACGTATAATTAGGAAGATTCATCATCGTATTTCCGAACATCATCCAACATGGTTAAGCAAGGGACAAACAAGATCTATTCGTAGCTCTAATTTAGCACACCTTGTAGATAGTGAGCATAAGGTGGACGTTAATACTGCATTTAAAATTATTTATTGCATTCCTACTAATCTTAAATTTGCTCTACGAGTTCGTCTTCTACATACATCTGAAGCAATAGGAATCCACCTGAAGAAGCCAAACTTGTGTGTTCAAAATATATATGTACAGTCACTTTCCTTACCGTGGCCATCGTTACATGAACATAAAAACCGGACTACTTCGCCCCCCTCCCCCTAAGCATTTAAAAGTTATAAAAATTATAATTGTCCAAATTATTTTAGTTTTATTTATTTTGACCACTTCATTTTTAATTACGTGTTGTCCTTGTAAAAATTAATTTATTCTAACCGTTTCTACCTTTTAATTGTGTGTACTGATTTTCTTCGTTTATTGCCAACCCATTGACATTTTGACACTGACTAATTATTGTTAACAAACATATCAGTGCCACTTGATGATTGGTAAACTGTTGTGTATTGTAATAAAAATGCTATACGTGTATATTGGAGTAGAGCCAGAGAGAGAGATGAGGATCTAATTGAAAAGTAAATATTTCTTCGCTGCTCAATCTGTGAAATATAAAAAGAAACGAAAAACTGTTTTGACTCACATAAGGGATTCTAGCCATGTGCTGTATGGTAGTAATAATATTGATGATGATAATAGCCGACATTAATACATTATATACACGGCAAAAACTTTGTGAATTATGCCAGGTTTAACGCCTCTTATCAGTGCTTCAACTTCGACTGACATCGATCAATAGTTAAACTTTTAAAAAATCAACTTCCTACAAGCTAACTATCGAAAATTAGTCTGTTGTTTTCTAGTGACTGAGTAGTGGTCAGAGTTGACTAGAAATCTAGCGGGAGATTGTGATCAGCGGCATCCATCCAGTTAGAAGTGAGGAGGACTACTCACCAATGATATTGTCGCGTGCTAGTCACGATAAAAACATGAATTCGTAGAAGCTGGAGTCACTGAGTTAGGTCACAATGGCTGAATGAACTACGAGTTTGCCTTGCTATTGGGGGTCCTAAGTTCGATACCTGGCAGGTGCTTGATTCCAAAGAGTCCAGAACGGTAAAGAAACAGCTGCTCAGTAATTCCTGTTGATCTTCAATCGTTCTCTAACTGATATCAATGTGTGGTGAGACTTGAAACAAATTGAATCCTTACATAATAACTCTCAGCACCCAAATATTTTAGAACTATTCTGTCGAATCTTGACGACAGTTCGTTTGAATTATTTTGCAATCGAATTAAATTAACAAAGAAACTATGCAATTGGCACAATCATCATCTCCGTTGTCTGCAACAAAATGCGTATCCTAAATCCGCAGCTATCGAGTCACCTGACAACTCCAGTAGGTCGAATATAGCAGCTCAATCTTCAGAAAGAAGACAAAGTAATAAGTTTGACAGAGTGGTTCATCTAAACTCTAATCCTAAACACCATAATTTTGAATATACGTCTAATCATAAAATTCTAGACACTAGCAGTTTAAACAGACAGGAAGATGTGATGTTAGCTGATGCATAGCAAATCCTGATTAATAAATAAAAATTGACGTCTCACTAATTAATAATACTTGGTCGAAATTCCTGACTGTCTGTATCTTCTTATAGAGACGTTAAGAGAAGTTTTACAACTGTTTACCCACACACGCATGCAAACTCTGTTTAAAGTGTTTAACAAATATATTATTATTGTTCCCCTGGCTTTTTAGTGGAACATAGGGCTTCAACTGCACGTCTTTACTTGCTTCTCTCTTCTGCAGTACTTTTCACCTGCATCAATGTTAGTTAATCCATACTGTTTCAACTCCTCTTCACATGTTCTCCTCCATGTCACCCTTGCACCGACGACCCACTCACCGCTTCCCTTTCGTGTTCCACTCGAGGGCTTGACGCGCGATGTCACCCAACGGCGGCCTCTTCAGCCGCGAATGTCCAATACATCTCCACTTTCTCCTGCATATTTCCTGTTGGTTGGCGATTGGTTCTCGTTTTGTTTCTTCCCATATTTTATTGTTGGTGGTTCTTTCCGGCCCGGCCATCTAATCTTCAGTATAGAACGGAGACAGTTGTTAATAAAGGTCTGCAAAAGCCTGTTAGAAATATTCTTTGTGACCTGTCCGCCAAGTTTCTGATCCGTATAGAAGAACTGACTGACTTCACTTTTGTATTGAAAATCTGACAGAATTTTGTTGTTGATGTTGGCTGGGTGATGACGATTTCCAGATTGGTTTCAGGTTGATGAATGTGTTTCTCGCCTCTCCGATTCTCACTCAATTTGACATCCTCGTCCATTCCTACTGCCTGTAGTTGAGACAATGCTCAATACTACTAGATAAGTGAATGAAGTGACCTCTTTCAAATCGCTCCCGTTGATGGTGCTTGACGCTGGATGTTGCTGTCGTTGTTGTTGTTGTTTGGTTATTTTCATAACCTCCGTCTTGTTTGTGTCCACTTGAGATCCTGTCTTCGCCGGCTGCTTCTTCGATCAGTTTGTCGGTTGGTTTTCGCTTGTAAGTCTTCGATTGTGTGTGACATCAAACATAAATCATCATCCACGCGCGAAATTCAGGTCTTCTAGGTTTTCACGTCGGTCCAGGATATCCCTGTCTTCTCGTTTCCCGCTGTCTGACGCATAATCCAGTCCACCACAATTAGGAATATTGTGGTTTAACAAAGGTACACCAATATTTGTAAGTCCTGGGTCAAATTTTGATCACTGCTCATATAATTTTGTTTATTATACTTGTTGATACTTGTTTTATGAATCATGATTAAACACAGTTTTTAAAAACAAGAGATTTTCCTTACATATATAAAACTCTGTTATGTTAATTTCGATTAATTCCCCTGAATAAGTTCGGACCAAATTGCCGAAAGAAACGTTGGAATTACTCATTTCAATCTCGCTGAGATTTTACAAATATTATTTTTTACAAATATCTACTTCTCACTCAGCGCCCAAATATTTTAGAACTATTCTGTCAAATCTTGACGACAGTTCGTTTGAATAATAACTCATATGTTTGAAGATATAATCGAAGTAGTAGGTGTGTAGTCACATTATGTATACTAGAGAACAAGTAAGTGAATTTCTGGTTTATTCAACACCACTACATGGAAAAAAAACGATTTGACTCACTTTAAAGGGTAGGGAACGTGGAAACTATGTGCAAAAGGAATTCACACGACTGAGCGGTAGTGAATTCATACATTTGGTGACTGAATTTTAGAGTATAGTAATATAACCAATACAGACGTGGATATAAGAGTGACCAGGTCGGTGGAGAGATTTTTGTTCAGCGCATTCATTAACTTACTTGTGCTCTTCTTCTTTTTGCGTGTGTTCCTTAGTCTCCTGCCAACCAGTATGTTGTAACAAGTGTATTATGACACTTCACTTGATTTTGAGTAACGAGAAAAATAAGTCGTTCGCTGTGAATTTTATCCTGAATCTTTTCAAACAGACCTTTAGGAGAGGAGTCTTTATGAAGTGTTACAACTGAGACTGACATTATCCAAATTGTTACTTCAGGGAAGGCCTGTTCACAGTAATTGAAAGATTTAAAAGTTGCTTCCTTTAAATAATTTTTTGGTGGCCGACGTGTGATTGAGAGACAAGATATCATAACAGTAAAAGGATCCTTTGTGCCCTGTTACACAGAAAATTGCTTTTCATGCTGATATCATGATGACAGTAACGCTGCTGTCAGAATACCAGTGGTTTGCAGACAACATGAGGGAAGCAGAATACAGTTAACTGCCAGAGGAAATGATTTACATGAACACGAATATCATCGAAGATTTAGCGACTGACACCCGAATTAGGCGAGTTCCTAGCTTTGTAAAAAGGCCTTACAGTACAACAATTCTGAGAGTGGTTTTGTCAGACAGTATAAAATAAGTTATCGTTTTATTCAGATACATCAGGATAATTGTTTCTAAATAGTGGAACCAGATTTGGAAACAATGAGTGGGAAGTCCAGGAGTGAAATGAAAGAGATTGCTTGAGGCTGAGGTGAGAGACCATGTTTCAAACATGTGGTCAGATAAAAAGGACCGTAGTAAATAAGACAGAATGGAGATATGTTGTTGAAGTCAAATTTTTCACTTGCAGCTCAAGGGAACAATAATAGTAAGCTGAGGCCTAATCACAGGCATCCACTGAGTTTATTTATAGAGAAAGAAAAACTCCGGCATATGACTACTCCTCTGTGTATATATTTATATGAATTCACATTAGTGAAAACTACCCATAATGGCTACAGGGAGCAGATTCCAGTTCAATCAAAAGTGCTATAAATCCTGACACTATCTACACTGACTCATTATTCACAGTCATTTACAAAGTGATCTATATGTATATATATAGTCATCCCTCTACCATGATAAACAAATATTCCTAATAGCGAGTAAAAGAACTCAATAACGGTTGACTTACTAGGGTAATTGTATAGTCGGTAGTGTATTACTTTTCCCTGAAATAGGAACTATATTTAAAGAAACAGAAGTATAACGGAAACTTTACAGTAGAGAAAATCAATAAACAACAAGTTCAGTTGATGTAAGGGGATAAAACATAGGCACTGTGATGGGAGAGTATAACTCCATTGTGGATAAAATTTGATTTTTTGATAAAAGCACACAATGTTGTTATATAGTGACGTTTACTGATGACCACGTTTCGAGGACAAATTATTGAGGCTCATAATAATATCAAGTCACTCTCACCACTTTCTTGTTTCATTTATGTTTAAAATATCAAAACAAGTGGTAATGTGGTGAGAGCAGGCCGTGAGAAAATATGTACAAGGCTGATTCGACAACCAATCACAGCAAAGTTAACGTGCCAAAATATGATTCGCAGATAGAGAACTCTATTTGTCGAGGAATCCCGAAACAACCAATCAGATGACTGCGCTTGTCTACTTGCATAAGCTATAATAATGTATGTGAAATATGTATAAATACGTGTTGATTATCATAATAAAACGATCTGTTGCCTGGCCCTTGTCTTCTGTTGTTACAGTAAGTCAGCGAAGAGACTCTTTTCAATGAATTTATCATCAAGCTGTACAATCGTATATGTATCAATGGTTTTTAAGAAATTATATCCGGCGAGGGAAATTAAATCATAGGTGTGAGTGCATAAAATAATAATAATATGAAATGCAAATAAAATTAAAATGTTTGTGATTATAATCATAGTTAAATGTCAAGTGACAAAGCAAATTAATGTCTTATATACAATGATTCATAGGATACATAGGGCCCTGAATAATAGGATCAGTAGGCAAACGGAACAAGAACGAAAAGGTTAGGTAACATTGTGTGAAATTTGGCATCATAAAATTAAATGCTGCAAAAGAGAATCGATTTAGAATTACAAGTGAAATCAATGAAATAATACCGATGACAGTAATAGTAACAATTGATGTGATAATGGAAGAGTATACAAATAGAATAGACGAAATGAAAAAAATGTTATAGCCAAATATGATTAACGATTACCATACCTTAGCATAGAGGGATTAAGACCATGAAAGTTGGAGGGGCTAAACGAACGTTGTCTGTGCACAGAGATCCGGCTTTTCTGTTTCGATAGCCAAAGCTTCAGCAATATAGATGAGTCAGGTATGCAAAGATTTGGGTAAATTAATCTTTGCCTTGTAGATGACTTTAAAGGTGGAGGCTATAGATATAGGGTGATCATAATCGACCAGGTATTCAATGATCGCGCTTCTTATTGCTCCACTTCCATCTCTTCCTAACCATGCAGGATAGTGTTCTTGCACCCTCTTGGACAAAACTCGAGTCGAACGACCGATATACCTAGCTTCACACGAGCCAGTGAACTGAAGAACGCACATAGAGTTGGTCAACAGCGGGATCTTGTCCTTCAGGTTACTCAACCATAATGGTCGACTGGTAAAGGCTGTTCTCAGAGATGCAGCAGGAAATCTTCTTATCGAGGACTGTGATATCCTTCTTTTCATGAAATCGGAAGCTAAGACACTTTTACATTCAAGCTAATGTTTAGTGTTTTCATGGGTGAGGATGATGAGTCACCTTTTATGGGATATGAATGTATATTCGTGTCCATTAAACATGGTGGAAGTCTATTTTCTATCAGGATTTTCCTCAAAAGATTTAACTCATCCTCTACAGTATCAGGGCTAAATATGTGCCAAATGCGAGTGGTAGGCGACCGGATCAGGTTTCATTTTTTTATTTACATGAGTAAAAAATTGATGATTAGAAATTTGAACAAAATCAATATAAGATAAAGTTACTTGTTAGAATGTTATCATGTGAATTGAATACACTGTAACATTATTTATTATCCTCTGATATGACTGGTGGTAGTAATATCTTCCATATCTCTAGTATTCACGTTGTGTCACTTCTATTGCATATGTTCGGTGTGTAGACTCGATGAATCAGGATTCAGTAATCAATCTTTCTCGCGTTCCACCTACGTGCATTACTCTTTAGAACTTTGACTCTTTCTCACCTTATTGTGTGGTTGTGTGTTAATGCATGCAGAGAAATGCATATATCATTATTAGTTTCACTATTATTCTTATTTTGATTTGGAACTTTTCTGATCTTCCTAAGGAATTTTATAGGGTAGTTATTTAACTATCAACCGGCTATTCTTCCAAATGTTTCACTTTACCATTTAGTTCATCAAAATGATGATATGAATTAAAGTCAGAATGCGTTTGACTTTTTTACAAACGCCGCTACTGTGCAGTTGACCTCCTACGGTTCGTTTTATTTTAAAATCTACCAACATAACTAATTCTTCAATGCATTTTTCATTCATGTATATATATAAATGAACCCAGATAGTTGTGTGAATAGTGCCTTAATATGATTATGAGCAGCAATAATTTGTACTCGAAACTTAATCATCAGTAAATGTGTGATTTTATCAAAATAAAATTTTATCCATAATGGAATAATTAAGTTGGTTGATAATTTTTACCACGGATCAATTTAATGAAGCAATTTACTGATTGAGCTTACCCTTCGCATTACCAGCTTCAAGTGAATGTATCAACGAGAGGAATGTAATTACCAAAAAGCACAGCATTTTCACTTATCTTTACACATCAAATAATGCATCAGTCAATTTTAAGATATATATATATATATATATATATATATATATAGAAGTATTACGTGCCACTCTCAAATCAGCAGAAAACAATTTAACCTTGAACATATACTTATAGAGGCAGGTGTGTGTTTGCGCGCCCGCGCGCATTCAAATTTATTACCTGCACATAGATTATTCGATAAAGAATTTCTCAGGTAGCAAACGTTTAGAAAAGAAATTTATCGTTTGTTTTGCTTTTTTTGCCATATGATTGGAGTCTGCAGACAAAAAAACACAACTGAAATTCAGTTTAGCATTAGGTATGATTAAATTGCTCAGGTGGTACGACAGTGAGAATTCACATCAATATACATCTGAGGAAACTTTGTCGCTGTGGTAGTTTTTTTTAAATTTCATATTGCAAAGTGATGTACACAATGAGAGGAAGGGGGTTAATTTGCTACACATCATTTTTGCCAGATGTAGATACACAACTTTGAAACTTGGGTTTTGTAGCTTTATTGATTCATTTTTATTTGTCGTTGGGGTGGTAGAGCTTCCAGATGCCCAGGTGGACACATTTTCTCTTGGTTCAATAAATAAATCATCTGTTACTATTCTGTTCATCCATACGTTTGTATCAGGGATTAAGACCATTATGTTTTCCAGCCTATTGTATCGTTGTATGTAACTGCGAGTGGTCCTATAACTGAGCTACATTTAAAGATAGCTTATTCTGTCAGATTCAACTAATTCTGATGTCTCTAGCTTTTTGTGCTTCAAGTAGTTAATTGACTCAGCTGTGCCACTTTGGTGTGTGTTTCTGACTTGACGGTTACTGTAGGGTATTAGATAAACTGAATGTTTCGGGTATTGGTTTTGTAGGGATTTAGTTTGATTGCATGAAGAATTTCATCATAAGCTGATATCAGTTAAAGAACCACTGAAAAACCTAGGAGTGTTGGACAGCTGATTGTTCCTAGTTTGGAACTCTTCAACAGTACGCACTCACCATGATTCGAGCCCAGGACCTCATCGAAGTAGAAATTGCGAAATGACAGAAGTTAGAATTCATACAATGGCCATTGAATCGGGTCCCAGTGGATGAATGGTATTCGAGCTCGCCTCGTAACCAGAAAGTCCTGGGTTGGAACTCTGGTGGATGCGTACTGCTGAAGAGTCCCAAACGTTGTTGAAGCAGCTGTCCAGTACTCTCAGGTTTTCCAATGGTTCTCTAACTGGAGTCAGCTCATGAATTTTTAGGATTTAATGCTACCCATAGGGTCGTCAAACTGACAGGACTTGTTGAAATGTCACATTTATTCCTGCTTTGTTAATAATTTTGAGTAAGGTTCCAGAGGTTCTTCGTGTGTATGAAAGGATCTTAATACTGCCACCAACCCTAAAAATCTCATTTAACAGCTACATAATGTTTCATATCAAATGATCCATAACAAAGAATTCAGGAAAGCCTTTAAAGTCAAGACATGCGTAAGACAGGGCTGTCTACAATCAGAGATGATATCCGTAACTGTGATGGAGTAGATCATGCAATAGAACATGAGGAGTGAGGAGACAGGCACACATTGAACCTACAAAGAGACACTGGATGATCCAGAATTAGTGGGAAATTTTTATCTGACGTTATATAAACTCGATTATCTACAGGCGAAAACTAACAATTTGTAGAAATAGGTAGCGAAGACATTACTTTAGGGGAACTCAAAGAATACAGAGGCGACGAAGATATCCAGTCAGTGATGACAAGAACTAAACATCATCAACGAGGGAAATCCGAGACCAGAAGAAATCACCTCTTTCTTATACAGGTATGCGGATATCAAAGTCTGGATGGGAAAAGCAAGATGACGGTTGATTATTCTAAAATAAGTGTGAAAGTGCAATGCGTTCCGTCCAAGAAACAACATTCAAAATTTTCACACTGGTACCAGATAAATGGTCCGACAAGGTTGAAGAAACTGGCGTGCGTGCTGCATAAAGCATTTCCAATGACTTCAGACATTTATCAGCGTCATCCTGCACTCCACACTGAAAAATAGAGAGCCATAAATGACTAGACAACTGAGATTATGGTAACAAACCAGTGAAGCCCACAGTGCCCAACAATTGTGTGGAGGGGAGTAGAGATAGAGTGAACATACGCCTAGGAAGGCCGTCGAGTGACACCACAATCCAAGCGTTCAAGTGGTTGCAGAATGGAAATAATTCTTTCTTCTGACATATCCTGGTCTTCCCATGTCTAAGCGATTTCCAAAAGAATATTTCGTCTGACTTTTTACATTAAGAAGTTGAGGCACTCAGGCATAACCCGCTCCTCCTACAGTTTGTCAATTCATGTATTTTACCTATTCTTCTTTACTGTTTACCCTTATTCTTTCCTGAATTGCTTAAAAAAGACTATGTCATACTTCGTAGAACTTTGAAGACTGTCAGTAGGACGAGTGGTATCCCATTGGACCATATTGTTGTAGATATTCTCAATGATAGACACTTGATGTCATGCAGCAAATTTGCTAAAGGAATTTCGCCAGACTCTGGGCACCCACTCCACTTGCAGCTTCAACCTTGTATCTCCTCCTCAGGTAAAACAAGAAGTCTTTTCAGAAGACTTTATGCACGTAAGTCTAAGTATAAAAATTCCACTATACAATATTTGGCACGTACTTTGTGTGATGAAAATAGTGTTAGGCATGAACTAACTAACTAACCTTCTTTGCACCACTAAACAAACCATTTCTTCCACCCTTATAGTACCTAACTTTACTGTTATTGTATTATATTTATAATCCTCTCAATTTTTTGTTTTTATTTATTTATTTTCCGTAAGTGTGGACAACGTTTAAGCTGTGTTACCACTGTTAATTTTGTCTTTCCCTCACCACTCCATATCAACAGAACATTAGATCCAATAATCTATAACATGCTAAAATTTCCAAAATGAATCGACAATACTGTTTGAAACAAACTTACTATTAAAATTATTATTGTGGTTCGAATATTTTTGACTTTGTATCGTAAACGTGGACAAATTCCTCTGGTTAATTTTGTTTTAATTTTTAGTTTTATTTATATTTTAAGTAAATCAGATGCAATATTGTGACAAATGCTGAGAATTTCATTCTGTATTATAAGTACTGTTTTTGGAATAAAGTAGATTATTATTATTAATAAATCAGTTGGGCCTCCAAGGGCGACCTTGAGGAGATTATGTTCGAAGGAAATGAAAACGTTTTGACAGTTGTACAGCCTGCCAGGCTGCAGAGAACAGAATGAAGCCATACGATACACTAGGTAGGAACCAAAAGGTGATAATAATAATAATAATTCCGAAGCATTTCAACGTACATGATATTCAAAACTAAATAAAACAGCCAAGAAGAATTTCTTCGGTGAATCATATGTCTTTATTTACAACGTTTCGCGTTAAAGCTCTTCTGGTTACACAATTATACACATTACACAATAAAGGAATGGGAATGTAGGTTTTATTAGCTATCTTATTCGCCTTAGGCTCTCGTGTTGAATCACTAAGATTATTCATCAAATGCGCTTAGTATCACATGCTCAAGATGACTGCTTTTTGTATTTTTTTTTCTTTCACGTTCCCAGTGGAACATAGGGCTTCGAGCTAGTATCTTGAAGTTTCTATAGCAGTGTTGAATTTTTACAGGATGGGGTTGCTAACCTCATGCACACAACCTTTCCTCTTTACCAGCATTATTTCTGGCATAGTGAAGTAAAGGAGTGCGTTGGCAGCCGATGATCGAACCCCAAACCGTATGAATGGTCGGTGTGCGTCCTAACCGCTAAGCCACGGACGCACGCTTTTTGTATTAGTCAGCATAAACAAGGTAAATAACTCCTAATTTCAATTTTGACGACAGCACTCAATATCATGCATGAATAAATTTAGATAAGCTTATTGATTCATAAAGAAAGTGGCTTCTTTAATTTTATGAGTAGGCAAACAGCTACCTAACTACATAAAAAACAACCGTCATATGTCTGAAAAAAATGCATATTACTTAACTTTTCAATCATAACACAACTAGCTATGCATTGGTTTTTATAAGGCCATATGACACTGAAACGTTTTACGGTGACAGATAAATTTTTTTAACTGTAGATATAAATATTTTCCCTAATTTTTAACCATTGAGTTGATTATTCTTGCTAAAGTTATTTAAAACTAATAATCGATGATTGATTGATTGATTGATTTATTGGACCAGAATATCAAGCTTTTGTTGACAATTTGCCTCGTGATACAATTGCTTCGATGATGCTCTAAGGTTACTGTTTTTTGTCTTTTCTTTTTCATTTTTATTCCTTAACATTTATGAAAAATTATATTTGTAAAAATCTCAGCGATATTGAAAGGAGTAATTCCAACGTTTCCTGTGTTCGGCAGTCTGGCCCGAACTTCTTCAGGGAAATTAATCTAAATTAATATAACAGAGGTTTATATATAAAAGGAATATTTCTTGTTTTTAAATTCTATGTCCAGTCATATGAATCATAAAACAGGCATCAGCAGGTATAATAACCAAAAATTGTATGAACTGTGATCAAAATTTGATCTCAATCTTTCAAAATTAGTCTCCATTTTTCTATTAAAATATAAGTGTATATGCAGTATACAATGGTGTGTGTGTGTATGTGTGTGTGTGGGTGAGCAGTCATAAAACATTTGTTATTCTCTCCATAAGAAGACAATCGTGAATTTGACCAGGTATGACTGATTGTTGACACACATCCAATTTTATTTATTCATTAGTCAGGATTTGCCATGCATCAGCTAACATCACACCACACCTTCACATCTGTTCAAACAGTTGGGATTCACCCATATATGCAGGGTTTCTGCAGTCAGTCTTTCTTTATATGAACCAAAACCTTTCTGTAGAACTTTAGATTTATCAAAGTAGATTTTGTGTCCTGTTTCTATCGAATGCAATGCAATCGCTGAGTTGTTTTATAACTCGTTCAAGTCTGCAGAGGTCTTTGGAATTACCCTTATACATTCTTCATTCTCTTTCACT